ATATTTAACCTCTGCCTACCAAGAAATATTTATTACTGTTGCCAATTTTGAGATGCAAGCAATCAATAGGGAACGTCCTTGTTCCTACATAATTGCAGGCTGTTTGGCAAATCTTTTCTGGAGATTTTGATAGGGACAAGGTAAGACAAAGTCATATTATGGGATGCCACTGAAGGGGACACTAGGTGGAGATGCCAAAAGCACACTTACCTCAAAACTCTCACCAAAAGGATTCTCTTCATATTGTTATGAATTATGCCAAAAATAATGACGGAGTAACTGGTGCTGAACTTGCCCTCCTGCCATAAAGAACTAGAAAACTGGACAAAATATGTAAACAACTGTTTTCAGACAATGAACAGCAGGCAGTACAAGACACATCCCTGAGAGAAGGGAAACAAACCAGACAAGCCCTATCCTGCCTGAAGGCAGTTTCCAGGAGGGCAGGAGGAGGGAAAATTCAAACAAAGCACAGGGGTCTTGCTCAGTTGAGGAGACAGAGGGATGTTTAAGTGGTTGGAATTTATGGATCAAACCAGCAGGGAGAACAGAGCTACAGAATGACCTCCAGAAGTCTATGCAGGTATTGTCTTGGTTATTGGGCTACATGTGTACTAAAATGTACCTGCTTATGGTGAAGCAGAGAGACCAAGCAAGGGGGGAGCTGAGCATTCGCAGAGCTCGCAAGGGCTGGGAGCCACTGAATTCTGACCAGAGTGGATAGATCTCACTGAATATCCAGAGCATCCAGGGGAGACCCTAGAACATCATGCCTTAATAGTAGGTTTAAATAGCCCTTAGAGTATAGTGTAAGACAGACGCAACCTAATAAGCTTAAAGAAAAGGCTTAAAAAAAATGATCCACAGCTACATTAACTGCATCCCCAAAACAAACAGACCTCTTCAACATTTAACACACTCTAAAAACAACAAAATCCACTCAGCAAATCAGTGTCCAACTCAATGACAAATTGCTAGATACATTAAGAAGTAGGAAATGAAACCCATAGCCAGTGAAAAAATTAAATAGATCCAGAAATGAGAGATCATGGAATTCCAACAGACATGTGCTCTAAAACACCAATTCTAAATATTTTCAAGGATCTGGAGCATGAACATTATGAGGAAAGAAATAATAAATATAAAAAACAACCAAGTGAAATTCCTAGAGCTTAAAAATACATTGTGTGGTATTCACAGTAGATTAGAAACTACAAAAGAAAAGATTCTAGACTGGGAGAAAATATTTGCAATACCTCTCAAAGGACTTGTACCCAAGGTATGTAAAGGACTCTTAAAATGAATAATAAGAAAAACAACCCATTTTAAAAACAGGTAGAATATTTTAATAGACACTTCACAAAAGACACATAATAGGCACAAGAAGATGCTCATGCGAGAAATGCAAATAAAAACCACAATGTGATACCAATAACCTACTAGAATGGCAAACATTTTTTAAACTGAAAATACCAAGGTTGTGGAACAACAGAAACACTCATACACTGATGATATTGGAAGTGTAAAATAGTATAATCACTTTGGACAATTCTAAGGTTAGGCATATACATATGGCCCAGAAATTCTACCCCTAGGTATTTACTGAAAAGAAATAGACTTGTACATGAATGTTCATAGAGCGTTATTTGTAAGAGCCCAACACTGTAAACAGCTCCTATCCATCAGCCATTTCATGGATAAACATAGTAATTTGACAATGGAATACTACTCAGCAGTAAAAAGGAATGAATGACTGATACAACATGGATTAATCATAAAATATTGCTGAACAAAGCCAGATACAAAATAGGATGTACTGTAAAATTTCACTTATGTGAATTTAGGAACAGGTAAAACTAGTTCTAGTATCAGAAAACAGATCATGAGTTGCCAGGGACTGGGTTTAGGGGTGGAAGGTGCCTGGACAGGAGGGAACTTTCTGGCATGACGGAAACGTTCTCCATCCTGATTGTACCTGGAGGTGTGGAGGTGTGCACATTTTTCAAAACTGGTGTCAAAACTTCAAATGAGTACATTTTAGTGTAAATAAACGATACATCTGTAAAATAGATTTTTAAGGTGTACACCATTACCTCATACCAAAAATAATTATGTATTTCAAAAGTAGAAGAATTTCAAACCATGAATTTTTTACTGAGAAAATAACTGATGGAGAGGTAGGGTCAGCAAAGGTGACTGTTTTGATTTTAAAAGATCCACACTTAGAGGTTTTCCTATGATAGAGAAGCTCTTACTATTGGGTTGTCATAAAAGTCATGACATATTTTTTCTGCTTTTCGTTGCAAAAATGCATCATGACTTTTCCGACAACCCAACAGATTAAAGGTACCATCAATGATGAGCTTGTTTCCTTGATTTGTGTATTTTATATAAAGAATTGACGTCTGTGAGATGTAGAGGTTATTCCTTTACTATAATATAACTGGATGCACGCAGATTACTATGTATGGGCTTCAGATAATTAGGAGTTAGCATGGCCCATACTTGAACCTACTACTTCTGCTATTAAATATCAATAGCAATACCTCACAGGTAGTTTTAAGGATCAAATGAGGTTTTTGTTTGTTTGTTTGATTAAATAAACCAAAAGCCACATATACAAACTGGTTTGTGTTACTATTCCTCCCTTTTGTTCCATTCCATGCAATCAAGGACTAGGTGTAGCTAGTCTGGGTCACCCTTCTCCATGGGCTTCCGGTGATGTGCTCTGGGTTTCTCTTAGCAGATTTCTTTCTGTGCTTGTTAATTTTATTATAGCAGAGAGATAATACTTCATCACTTTATTTCGCTAATTTGGAAGAAACTTATGTCATAACTGCCACAAAAGCGATTGTGCTTTACAAAAATTTCTACCTACTAATATTAGTCACCAGCAAATATTTGAGTTCAACTTTGGTTTCTGTTTTCTTAATTGTTAGTATGTTGCCTTATTAATTTGTAGAATTTTTTCTTCTTTTGTTTGTACTGGTGTACCTAACTTTATTATTCTATTGGGTTGTCGGAAAAGTCATGACGTATTTTTTCTGTGGTTCTTATTGCAAAAATGCGTCATGACTTTTCCGACAACCTAATACTTTATTCGTACATATTACCTATTTTTAGAATTCGGGCACAAACACATATTACAGAAAAACTATGGACATTTAAACACCAAAGATGTTCACATCGTAGCTTCTCTCAAAGCAGTACTTCAGAATATGTTAATAACACATGGCTTTCCAAATACACTGTTTTGTTTTTCCTGTTATTTATGAACTGAGATGTACTCATTTGTCTGCTTAAGCTGTCTTAGGCTTCACTGCACCTAAATCCACTTATTATATAGGTAGGAGCTAGCCTTACCATTGGCCCTAGAACCTATAACTAGTTCCACTAATAAAAGTGAATCTCCTTATAATGTTTGATACTTTCAGGAAACTTATGTCCTTTCTCTACAAATAGAGAAATTTTATATTTAAGTGCATCTAAATGAAAATAATTAACTTGATTTGTTTTGGCAGATATTTCTATATAAGACATTCCAAAGATTATATAATCTCTGATATAAAGTGAAATTGAAATTTTACATGCTTGTATAAATTTATTTTTCCAAAAGGAAACAGGGAGAGGAGGAATGAATAGAGAGATAATGGAGGATTTTTAGGATACTAGAATGATGGATACATGTCACATATTTGTCCAAACCCATAGAATGTATAACACCAAGAATGAATGTAAGGTAAACTATGGACTTTGAGTGATTATGATGTCAGTGTAGGTTCACCAAGTGTACCAAATACACAACACACAACACTCTGGTGGTGTTGGGGTGCCAATAATGTGGGAGCAGGAGGCATATGGGAAATCTCTGTACCTTCCTTCCAATTGTGTTGTGAACCTAAAACTGCTCTAAAAATATAGTCTTTTTTAAAAAGTAATTTGTGACATTTTAAAAATTGCAGTCATTTCTTATTAAACCCAATAGGATTATTTTTCTTCACTTATTCTCAAGTAATAGTCAAAAGAACAGTGAAAACAAATTCCTTTCCAAAAGATCATTTTGGACTGGTCAATAATTCAGCTTACTTGGATAACAAAAACTGTAAAAAAAAAAAAAAAAACTTTTAAAATGCAATTTTAAAGATTGTTGCTAGAGAGTAATTTTTAAAGTTTATGTTGAACAGATATTAATGGGCAAATGTCTCATAACAAAAAGGGCATTTTTTTAAAGTAACATTCTGTTCTAAATATGTTTATGATTGTCATTGACTAAAACTGTAAACTTATGTTATTAACCAGTTAATACACAGGACATAGAGGAACTAGGGTCTTTTCATTTAGTAGAAGGTCACCATCATTAATTTTACAGCTGATGATTTTATAATAGGTCCTTCTATTTCTTGATGGTCATTATTGAAGTATAATGTATTGAAGATATGGCCCATACAAAGGCAAAACAGGGATCTTAATTAGAATTCTGACAAGCCCAGTAAAATGATGAGATTATTTGTAATTGATGTCACCATCAATTACCATTTAGTTCATCATGAGCATTCTAATAGGTCTGGCCTTGGTATTGGCCCCAGGATGTTGCTGAGTGAAGGGCTGCACTGCTTATGCTGTTACTGAGACAGGAGGGCACGTTTCCAGTCAGCATCCTAATGACCTCTTTTGAAGTCTATTAAATTAATGACCCTGTCACACTGTTTTGATCTCTTATAACCTCAGTTTGGGGTTTGTATAACAAATTAACGTTTGGGAACCATGTGGCAAAAAAGATAGGTCTTTTAAAAAGTTGAAACCTTAATATTGCTTACTAATATTTAGTAAAAGTTATTGTGCAAGAAATAAAAGCAAAAAATGCAAACCATAGGGTTTGTATGTATTTTATAAAAGAGAACTTTAGGACATGTCTATCTCCATAAAACATACTTTTTATTTGTAGTACCCAAACTTGTTTTGTTCTTTTTTAAAGGGGCTGCTTTCTTCTCTAATTCCAGGTGCCAATGGGTCATGTTTGGTTAGAAGGTGATAATCTACAGAATTCTACAGATTCCAGATACTATGGACCTATTCCATATGGACTAATAAGAGGACGTATCTTCTTTAAGGTACTGTTTTCTGCTTAAATGCAGGGTTTCTTCTCTGAGCTGGGACAAAAAACACTTTCTTTCAAAATGAACTTTGAATTCCTCAGGCTGTTATTGGACTTGACTGTTGCAATAATAGTTATGAACATGTTGGCTTCATAGCTATAAACATTACCCCTTCCCCTCACTGAGACAGGTCATTGAGAATAATTTTTGTTTGAACCTTTAATTTAGATCTCTAAAAATGTTTCTCTCATACAACTTTTACAACCATGTTTATATCCTGGGAATATATAAATGTGCATTTGCAGAAGAGCAATGTAGAGTCAAACTACCTGTAATGGAGGTGAGTATACTGACTAATGGACTTATGGTTGTAGTACATAAATGATTCTTAGGAAAGATTATTGTTTTCACTGGCTCCTCCTTTATGTCACAATCAGTAAGGAGAAAAACAGACCTGAACACTTAGGGCTGTTGGCTAATTTACACGGTTCTTTACACTTAAGCATATATTCAAGTACTAGGTTTACAGTAACTTTGAGGGTAGTAAAGGATAACACAGACACACATACACATTCGCACATATATACAGCTGACCCTTAAACACTGCGGGGGTTGGAGCACTGAACCCCCGTGCAGTTCTCCCATGCAGTTGAAAGTCCATGTATAACTTTTGATTCCTCAAAAACTTATGTGTGGTATCCAGTACTGGTTCCAGGAATCCCCCAGATACCAAAATCCAAGGATGCTCAAGTCCCTTATATAAAATGACACAGAACAATGCATGCAGTTGTCCCTCTGCATCCACGGATTCCCAACCACGATTCGAAAATACTCTTTGCAATCCACTGTTAGTTGAATCCATGGATGTGAAACCCGGGGACACAGAGGGTCGACTGTGTTTTTATTGAAACAAATCTGCGTGTAAGTGGACTCATGAAGTTCAAACACATGCTGTTCAAGGGTCAACTGTATTCACACATGACACACATATAATTCCTTCTATGTTTGAATGTTCCAAACTTCTGAGTTTAAATACATACACACGTAAAAATGTACTTTCCAAGGTCTTATTTTGAAGTATAAAATTTGTTCTTTACCAAAGAATAAGGAGAGGGTGTTTAATTATATGACATGGAGAAAAGGGATGAATGAAAAAAAAGGAATATGATGATGATATAACATCATTTTCATTAACTGTCTTCAATCATATTTTGATTTTTACAGATTTGGCCTCTGAGTGATTTTGGATTTCTACGTGATAGCCCTAATGGCCACCGATTTTCTGATGATTAGCAAACATTTATTCTTTTGATTTGATTATTGTCTCCTGTTCAGGTGAATTTGTTATTGCCATTGAGACCGTGTACTTCCTAATAAAGTATTTGCTATTCAGTTTTAGTTATTTTTCACTGTTAAATGTAAAGAATAAGTGACACAATCTGCAAGCTATATTNCTGACTACTATAAGTATTTGTAAGGGTCAGTTTTAGTACATAATTTACACAAATATCAACTGGCCTTAAGTCATCATTCCTAACAGTTAACCCCAATTCATATTATCTACATTTAAAAGTATTATTTCCCTTCTTATGGAGTTAATCAGTCCCTAGCATTAACTTTCTTTTCAGGAAGAATTCTTACTTTGAGCTTCAGAAATTGAAAGTTGATTCAGTTATCTGACATAAATCTTGGTGGGGTTTTAAGATATGTTCCTTATTGGGTCCAAGATTTGCTTCTCTCCCATTCTCAAATATCCTAATTAAAGGATGAAGTGAATTATATAACACAATACCAGCAATGAACTTTGTATCTAGTTAAGGAGGAGTAACTGAATAGCTCTAAGTAAAGACACTAATTTTACAATGTATGGCCCAATCCCCTTCTGAACCGTGCTGTTTTTGGTATCCAAGTTCTTGGCCAATTATGTAGCGGGAAGGCTCCACATTACCAAAATAATGCACTAATAGACACATCTAATATAAAATAATATACCACCAAGGATTCCAAACAATCCACTTATTTTTTTTAGTACGTTACTTAATTTGATGACTTCATTTGAATGTTTGTTCCTCTTGAGGTCCCAGAGAAGTAAGCTAACTCATAAGCTGTGTGTCACTCTATAGAGCCACCAAGACATCAGATAGATAGGTGTGACTGTCACATTACAAAGCTATTGAATCATGATCCCGATTATTTTCCCATGATATACTTCTGATGTGTTTTTTAATGTGTTTAATATATGAGAAAACTACATAAGATTTATAAAGGCACCAAAATCTATTCAATAGATATCATTCATGTGGACATTTTATAAATCCTGAAAAGATTTTCCAAAAGCGTTCGTCTGGTTGTCTAAAATGCAAAGCCTAATCTTGACTAAGTCCATGCCTTTCAAGGGAACATGGGAAGCAGCCTTGGAAGCGTCCTTAGAAACAATAAGGTAAACATGCCAACTGGAACTAATTGATTAAATCCACTCGTTAACATTGCTTTCAAAATGTATAACATCTGAGAACTGAATATTACTCATCCTTTTTTAGATTTGCTCTTCTTCAGCCCGTCCAACACTGCCCTAACATGTCAACTGAGAATATAGAAGTGGAAATGAGGGAGAAAAAAAATATATGTACTTTACTTTATGTTATCTATCTTGGACTTTTTCTCTATTAGAACTCATTTGATAATTTCTTTTGTGAAGAAAAGAAATATGGATGTCAAGGGCTCCTTTAAATGATCTTTTAGAGAAGTAAATGATTGTAGGTGATACTGAGGTTGTCCTTACAACAGAGCATCAACTTTGGGCTGTGAAATAAAAGAAAGCATTCAACATCAGCCAATAAAACATCTCCTGCCTCCTTCCCAAGTATTAGGGAACTCAAATTTATTTTATACTCCAAGTTAATGGAGGGCAGGAAACAAACATTTAAAGCACACCCTATGAAAAGAAAGTTCTACAATGAACTATCACCACATGCAAAAGAGTTCTGTGTAACAAAGCTATTTCCATGTCCCCAGGGGGTGACCCAGAAAAAAAGAGTGCTTTGACCTGGTTATAACAAATTCTCTCTCTCTTGGTAACCTACCCTGGTCTTTAACAAATTATCACTCTCAAAGGTTTTCCTTCTATCAAATCTAAATCCTCACTGTTAGAAGTTCAAGTTCATTTCTTTCTTTTGGGGAACCATTTATCGAGGATGGGTCAAGAAGGAAAAATTAATGTCAGTATTCAAAATACGAAACTAGGTTTATTATTAGATTTTAAAAATAGCTGTAGTAGGCCATTTAAAAACAGCTAGTTATACTTGGATAAGAGAACTCTATTTCTTATCTAAAAGCAAGGCAATCTCAATTTAAAACTGAAAGCGCTCTCACTATTTGGAGCCTCTGGTAATGAAGAAAATATTTAGTACTTAAATCTGAGGTACTAAAATGTAATGAAAAATTGTATTTCTACTGTTCTTCTAGAATAGCTCAATTCAGCAATCACCCACCTGAAAAACTTGCAAACTTTCAAGCAGAAGATATGCCTGTTTATCTGAATCATTGATCAGGCCCAACTCTCACTGTATTTGGTTTGTCTAAACTTTGTTGTGACCTCATCCATGACCTACAGGAGGCGCCCCTGCGATACAGTAGGCCATAGTTGCTTCCATTAAAACCTTAAAATCAGGGACTCAAAACTCAAAAGAAATCCACATTTCCAAGGACTTCTCAAAGACTATGAGAAAGGTTTGAAGATGTTGATTATTTATTCTTCCAACATGTCTTTAAACCTTCCTTCATGCAATTCTATTGTTCACTTTAAATTCTATTTCTTATTTCTCTGCACTTCTGGTCTACCCTACGCTATAGAACAGCAAGAGAGAAAGTTTTTGATTCCTGATATCGCCCCACCTCTTTTCTCTAGACAGTGGACTTCACTGATAGGTTCCTAATAGGACAGGCTCTAGAGTGGCAAAAATGCAGAGCGACAGTCAGTGCAAGTACATACTCTCCACCTTAAGTTACAGTTCTGTGGATTATCCTTATCTTAAGCAAATTAACACCCTACAGAGTAAAGACTGGTCAAGATGTGCAAAAGTACCATCAGAAAATAATCCTTTCCAGTACAGTGTGGTTGCTTTAGGAATGTAGTAACTTCTCACAAACAACACTCTCGTGTATTAGTTTCAGTATTTTCACAGAAATTATATCACGTGAACCAAGGTTAAACAGATGTATCTATGGATAGAATTCATCCTCAAGTGGAACCACCTCTACATTCTTTTGTCAGAAGTACAAACACATTTACAAAAGAACTACAACATTGGAAAGATGCTCATACGTGCACCAATACCAGCAGGACAAAATATTCAAGCCATATTTGAAAATTAATCCAAATTCATTGCAAGGATACATTCAATTTCTTAACATTAAAAAAAAACCTGTAATAAATAAGTAGAAGGGCCTTAGAGCTGATTATTGTGAAATAAGTCAGTCAGAGAAAGACAAATACCATATGATCTCACTTATATGTGGAATCTAAGGAACTGAATAAATGAGCAAAGTAAACAGAAATAGTCTCGGAGACAGAGGAAAACCTGAAGGTTGCTAGATGGGAGGGGGTGGGGATGAAGGAGAAGGGGAAGGGACAAGAAAACATAAATTGGTAACTACAATATGGCCTCAGGGATAGAAAAGACAGCTTGGGGAATATAATCAATAATGTTGTAAATATTTTTTAGGGGGCCAGATGGTCTCCTGTCTTGTTAGGGAGACCACTTCATAGATGGTGTAGAGGCCACTGCACTGTACATCTGAAGGGGCCGTTGAATAATATATGTCAACTATAATTATATATACATATAGTCATGGGATATGGAGTATAGTGTGGTAATGGAGTCAATGGAATTGTAATAGATATGTATGATATCGGGGGTGGGGGAGCAGTGGATGGGGGAGGAGGGTTGTCACTTTGTGAGGGGTGAAAAGGATAACTATTGCATTGTTTTGTACACCTGAAACTAATAAAACTAATAAAAATTAAAATTAAAATAAAGTAAAATAAAAACAAATCCTCCAGTACATAAAATAGCACATGAAGTCTTTACACACAAAAGTATCATGCACTGCCTGTAAGAAATACTTAATTTTATCAATACAACTCCCTCTGAAAATATGGATATTCTGTATATATCACTGGCTTTATCTTATAATGCTGTGTTTTAAAAATACAAGAATTGATTCTCAAATCAGATTTTTGTAATTTTATTAGTAGGACTCTTAAAATCATTTGGTTGGGTTTGATGGTGTGCCAGTGTCGGGCAAGGGAGATGACTCAATAATCAACTACAGACAGTGAGCTTTTATCAACACACACGAGTCAATGCTGAGTTGGGTGTACTACTGCAGTGTTTTCCCCCCAGGCTGTAACTGGGTATTGACTCCCCCCATTAGCATGTAGGGTGAATATCGAAGGTTCAGACAGAGGGCTGAGGGACTCCTACCCCAGGGCCAGTGCTGCAAGGCAGCCTATCACTTTGGGTAACCGCCATCCATGTGTGACAAACCTGACCTACATTTCTCC